ACAGCTTTAACCTGTTTTACTAAAATTATCAATGTTTTGTTGTGGATGTTTTTTATTTATCTCTGCAGCGATCATACAGCCGTGAACTTTTCGAGGAGGTGATTTCCAAGATGCGAAAGGCCGGTATTAAGTCCTCCATCGCCATTGAGAAATTCAAGTTGCTGTCCGAGAAGGTGGAAGAAATAGTCGCTAGAAACTCTCAGTCAGAGATGGACTACAGTGACGCACCCGATGAGTTCAAAGGTTTGTGTGTCGACATGGCTAATATTTAGGGGTTTAATAGTGGCTGCAAAGTAAAAGTAGAACTGCACTCTTAGACTTTATGCTATGTAACCTCACACTTAGCACAGACGTTATGTTTCTCCTTCTAATTGCTCCTAGTGCTTGTTAAAAACAAAACAAAAAATGAAGGTGAACACCGTTACTGGAAGTTAAAAAGTAGAATCTGATATAACCTTAGTTTTATAAGCATTGTCATTTCTGAGGGGGGGTGGTCACAAGGGGGTGATCAGCGAATCAGTGGATTCAAGGTAACGTGAGAGATGCATCTAATTTGACACGTACATTTTCAAGATACTTTCTTAGACTGAGAGCAAATATGCCATCACTCTATTATTGTAGACGTCATACGAACCTCATGATTGGGGCCGTTTTTAAATCCCAGTTTCATATGTCATTGTTCCAAAATATAAAAGACGCTATTATCATAAGACTTTTAATGAAATTGATAGTCAAAATTTAATTCTGAGCAATAATGAATGTATCAATTTGAACCCTAAGATTATAAATCATAGGCAGTGAGAGGAAGAGCATTTTAAACCTAACCGATGAGGTCATATATTCATATTTTAGGGACTGCACAATTTTAAAGCCACCTGTATGGAATGAGAGCTATTTTAATGAGACTTATGATCTGACAGGGACATTTAGAAAAATCTGAAAGCAGCTCTTGTATTTTGGGAATTCAAACCTGAATACGCAGTGGGTTTATATGCTGCGTAAATGGGGAGTAAGATAACTCTGGAATCCTAATCTATATTCAATGCACTACTGAACCTTTGCCCTGAGGGAAAACAGCCACCTCAGCGTGACCCCCAGGTCAGTCCCTGATAGAGAGGGTCTTCATTGGATTCCAAACATTTGCAGTAGATTTTGGCAGCTCATGCAGATCATATAGACAGCTTAGAGCAATGCTATCCTGTGACCACAGACTTAATATAATCCACAAAGAGAATGTGGTCTGCATACCTCCTTTGATTCCCAGATATGTCAGCCGTCCCACCACAGTTGATAGGAGTGTGCCATCCAGGAGGCAGGAGTATCAGCTGTCTTCGTGGTTATAATATCATGCAGAGGGGTTTTATTTTTACCCGCAAGACCCACATTAACAACTCTGTGACATTTTAATATATAGGGGACAACTTAATTTAAAACAACCATCGTTTTTTATTGGATATCAGGGTAATTTGTTTTTCCATGTGGAGTAATATTACTGTCATATAAAATATGCACCTTTTTTGCTGTTAAGACCAAGAGTTTTATTGATTTACACTTCATCTCTTTTTTTTTCCTAAACGTGTTTTAAATCAAACTATATTTAAAGTTTATTTTGCATGTTCTGTTTCCTTATTTAGCGTAAAAAAATTTGCCTGACATTTTGTCAGATTCTAAACTTCATGCATCATCTTGCAATTTTAAATTGTGGAAAATAATATTATGGAACATCATCTCACAATGGAGAAATTCACTTCTGCATTTTAACTAATCCCTTTGGGGAGCAGTGGGCTGCCACTGTGCGGCGCCTTGGGAGTAATCCGGGATTAAAGGTCTTGCTCAGGGACCCAGCGTGCAGGCTTTGGGGATCAAACCGGATACTTGAAAACCTTCTTAGAGCACAAGTGCACTGCTCTAACCATTAGGACACCACTCCCAATAAAAAAATAGGGTGTTGAGTTGAACAAATGGAGGCATTAAGCTGGACATTAGTATATATGTATTTGATTTTTAGAATTAAAATAGAATTATGTTCCAAGTAAATGTCTATTGCTGTTTTTTTCACCATTCTACATTAAACTTTTATCTCAGACCCTCTGATGGACACACTGATGACTGACCCTGTGATGCTGCCCTCGGGGAACATTATGGACAGATCCATCATCTTGCGCCACCTGCTGAACTCCCCCACTGACCCCTTCAACAGACAGCCCCTCACAGAGAGCATGCTGGAGTCAGGTAACAGCATTAAGATGGCTATTTTTTTCTTTTTGCTGAGTTATTTGTGAATAAATGCATTTTCTCCAGTTTGCACTTCTTAGTCTGTTCTTTTTTTATTTGTGCTTCTATGCAGTGCCTGAACTGAAGGAGAGAATCCACGCCTGGATGAGAGAGAAGCAGGGTGCTCGCCCTCTCTAAGAAACACAGCGTTGGTGTCTGACCGGATCACTGATTTGAAGGGATCGTTCCAAATCATCTGAATTTAATGTCACTACTACCAATGAGAACAACATTTTGAATGGAGAAAAAAAAAACCTGATTGGATTTTTATTTGCATTTACCCTTTTTGTCTCAAACCATTCTCATGGTTCTAAAAACAACATAATAAAGTTAAAACTTTTACCTTTGTCTCTTGGGTTTGTGTAAATTCTATCAGATTAGAGCTAATAGTTGGTGGTTCATGTATTGAAAATTTGCAGAAAACAGTTTCCAAAAAAACTTTAGCAAGTCTTTTTGATCCTCTTCCTTTACAGTGCTTGTTCTATTTGGTAAAAAGTGTGTTGGCTTTATGAAAAGGAAAGTAGAGTCTGTGTGGATAATGATCAAATTGTTTTAAGGCTAATTTGTGTATTTCAGCCCATGTAGCCTGTTAAGTAACATATGCGGCATCTGTGCTTATGAATACAAATTGGAACCATAAATGGCTGGATTTGGGCTAACATAATTTAATTTTAAAAGGAAGTGACCTTTAATTTTTCGATATTGATTAGCAGGAACTTAAGTGGAATAGTGTGGTAGTTACATTTTAAAGCTGACTTAAAAAGACTGATTTAAATACAACTATGTTTTGGAGAGAAAAAAACGTGTTTGCTCATCGAGGTCAAATATCTGTTATAGAAAGGGGGATGTTGTAGAATCCAAATAATTTTACCATACTTAAAAATCTGTCATGTAACACTGCATTTACTGTACCTTGGCTTTTCTGCCTTTACAGGAATTATTTACTTTAGAGAAGTCTTTGAAATTAAATGCCAAATTCCCTTCATTTCACAATTCTTAATCGTGTTTTCCTCTGATTTATCAGGTTATTGGTTTGAGGGTGAAGTTTTGAATATGTTGGATGATCATGTTTACTAAATAATACCTGTTTAACTAACAGGGGGTTTAGTTTGCCAGCAAGGTTTTTTGTAGTAATTTTAAACACAGTCAATTAATAAAGGCTGGAGGGCCTTGAAACTTGTACAAAATTCACAAATTTTTCTAGGCAAGAAAAATATATATATATATTTTTTGAGAAACATTTTATTGGTCTGAGTTTTTCAAAGGACTGAACACTTTGTTCCATCTATTAAAAAAGCCACCATCGCACAGTAAACGAGACAAATTCATTCATTTGCTGTGTTTTAAAATCAAGAAATTTACCATGAATATGATAGAACACAGCTATTTTGCATTAGAAATTATATTTTAAAGAATGCTTAAATTCATAGCTTAACACATCCTTGTTGTGTTTCAGTCATAAAATAAAATCCTTGTTTAAAATAACTTATTCTTATCACTATAAGTTGTAGCCAATTAGAACTATTATAGATGCACCAGCGACACTTTTCCTGGACAACACCAGTTTCAAGTTGTCTTTGGGCTCAGATGTTTAAGATAATTTATTTAAAATAAGAAAAAAAATAATTGCAGGTTTTTGTGATGGTCTTGCATCAAATAGAAAATTGCAACATCTTGGTTAATGGGTGGCCTTAATCTGATTTTTATCTTACTTTAAAAGGGAGCATAGAGGGATAAGTTGTTGGTTGATAACTTCTTCTAAGTTTTGCATTTAATGGGTAAATGAAAACCAGATGTTTAATACCTAAAATCATCTAACAATTTCAAACCAATTTGTTACATTTTTAGTAATTCCCTATCCCTAAAGTTTGATGTTTGTTGTGCTAGATTATAAGTACGGTAATAGAAATAAACCTCTAAACATAAAGTGTGATTTAAAAACATATTTTGGTTTAAATCTTAAGTGCATATGCTAAAGGGATGATTACAGTTATTCCTTATACTATAATAGTTCTTAAAAAATGTCCGAGCATGAGATTTTTTTTTTTTCTATTGACAGTTTGTTCAAAAAAAAAAAAAAAATCTATAGCATTTTTTTATTAATCTATTGAAATGCATCTTGCATTTTCTACCCTTTGTAGATAAATAATCATTTTAGTTCAGTTACTTTTGCTTCTGGTTCTTCTGAATAAAATTTGTCTATGTTAAAAAAAAAAAAAATATATATATATATATATACTTGTACTTGAAAATAGTTAATTCTGAAACGTGAAGAAATTAAAGTTTGTAGCTATCTAAATTACTTTGAAAAAACTTGGATCAGATATTACACTGGGAAAAAAAAAAAAAAACAGGTACTCTGAATCTGCTACAACCCATTCTTTTTAATTTTCTTTGAAAGAGATCCAGAAAGGTGCAGAAAGCCTTTATCGTTTGGGGTTGGCCATTTAATTCCTCGCCAGGGGGCGCTATTTTGCGGTGACCCTGGTAAAGCGGCGACAGCGGTGCGGGGAGCGGTGGGGTCGAAATCCTGCAGTGTGGCGTCACACAAAAAAAAAAAAAAAAAAAAGAGAGAGGCCCCACCCACCCACATCGATTCAGAAGATCGCCATTGGCTCCCTGACATCTAGTCCAGTCGAGTCCCTGCGCTGATTGGACCATTGGTCTGTCAGTCGGCACGCTGAAAAGCAGTTGACGTAATCTCTTCGGTAAATCAAGGCAATCCATCGATTTCCATTCTCGCACGGGCGCAGATGGGCGGCCGCTTTTTTCCCGTGGCTTTGGAAAAAAAATAACAAAAAAAACGAGATAGTCACACAGAGCCACCGTGCTCATATTTTTACATATCCATCGGGCGGAAGATACCGCTATAATGGGTGTTTTCCACGGAAGCGGACACTGTAGCAAAATACGTGTGTTCAGATTCTGATTAAACAAGGCAACAACATCCCGACCGCCCGCAAGCTAACATTAGTTCCCGGTGGTGCTGCCTGGGGCAGAGTGACCAAACGTGAGTATAAAATATGTTTTATGTGGATAATATACATATATATTATGTCATATTAATTTCTGCTCGTGAGCAGCAACATTAGTCATAGAAATGCGTGTCCCGTACATAGTTACGTCACGTAATGTACGTTAACAGTTATCATTTAGACTATATTAGCAAAGGAGTCCAAAACCGTTACATTTAGCTGTAATTGCTTAGCTGCTAACACTACATGTTATGTTGACAGAAGCCTCAGCCGGTAACCTTTTATTATGTCTAAACAGTTTTTCCAATGAAGAAATCTCATAATTATCGTTTAAAACGATTGTCTTTGGGAGGTATTAACCTTTTCTCTGCTTAATAAACGTGAACAGTGTGTTCCAAACTCTTCTAACAATTCAGCAGAGGAGGATTAGCCCACTTCTTAACGTCGGTGAATTAAATTTTTCAATATATAAAAAAATGGAGGCTCGCACTAATGCGGAGTCACATGCAGCAGACGGGGCCCCCGGCTGGTTGTCCCGCTGTAGCCCACAGCAAGGAAAGAGGAGATAGGATTTCATGGGCGTATGCCTCAGCAAGTATGGCTGACTGCTGGAATATGGAAAAAACAAGGGATCATTTAGGAATCTGGTGTAGAAATGGACTACAGGCGAACTGGAAGGATGGGGTTTGAAGCCCCAGAGACGGACAAAGATTGAATAACGCCCTAAGCACCGTTTTATTTGGGGGGTCCATTTTCATTATGCATATTGACAAAGGAAAGCATGTTTTTAAAAAAGAAAAAAACAAAGAAATAAAAATGTTTCAGCCGTCATGAGTAAGTTAGAATTCAGAACAATATTTTTGCAATAACTTAATTTAAAAATGTATCACTGATGTTGCCATGCTATGCTTGATAATCTATAACTAACGTTCCTCTTTTTTTAGTTGCTAGTATAATAAGTAGACTTGCTGATAAACATTTTTTTCATTCAACACATTTCTTATTGTATAGGTAATATTTTTACCTTTAAAAACGCACGTTTAATCCATCTTAAAATATCCTGTCACATCTTTTATTCCTTTTTCTAATTTAACGTTATATTCAAATACCCCAATAAAAAATCATAAATGAATTAAAGTTTTCGACTCTTATGCATCTGCTCACTCGTCAGATAAATGGATTTTAGTATATAGGTAAATCAACAAATTTTTTTAATTTTTTTTTTTTAAGATTAACTGCTTATATGAATCTACCGGTTTTTATACCAACGCTTAAATTAAAAAGCAATGTGAATTAAAAAAAGAGAACGTTTAAGATGATCCGTATTTTCTGTACGTTTATCATCAGAAATGTTGATGCTTTTGTTTGCAATAGAAACCAAAGATGTATTTTTATGGGGAGGGATAGGTCGGTACCATATCCCTAATCAAAGAAATGTAATAAAAACAACTATAGATTTTTGTGGCTGGTGATTAGTTTCCTGCTTTTGGCACAAATATGAGTCATTTTTCAAAATTGATATGAAATATTTATAGACTGTGCAATATATATATCAGCAACTATCCAACACATGAATGAAAACACAATAAAATGAACCGAAAACTGATCGATGAATGATTTTTAATTCATTTAGTGCATTTCCTCCACTGCTTCCTTTCTAACAAGAGCCTATACAAAACAGATTTAGTTTTTCACTCCGATAAAATACCTTTGACTAACCAGATTCTTTCTTCCATTTTTTGTCCTTTTTCTTCAGGAGGGATATAAAAACGATCATACTTGGAGTCCGACCCTAAGAGCAAGCATGTCTGGGGCATCTGTAAAAGTTGCTGTTCGAGTTCGACCCTTCAACTCCAGGGAAATAGGAAAGGAGTCAAAATGTATCATTCAGATGCAAGGCAACACTACAAGTAAGTAGTCTACTGTCCCACACACAGGAGCCACCACACAAACCACATTTTAGAGTTCATGCAGGTTTGTCTGGACCTCCTCCCACGTGGTGTTTTCTTCAGGGGCTCTTTGCAAAGGGAAGGAGAATGAGCAAAGTGAATGGATGGTGAAGAAAGAACAGGCTGAAAGGGAATAAAAAGCTTCCACAGGGGAATTTCTCCCCCCTCACACTGGAGGGGGGGCTTCATGCCTGAGGAGTCTGTGGGAGAAAGCCACCGTTTGTTCCTGATGCAGGGACCTAGGGGTCATTACAAAGGCTGACCTGCAGTCACCTCCCAGCTCGCTGGAGCTTTATCACAGCCAGTGTTGTTGCTCTGTAGTTTATGACCACATTATCTCTTGGCGGCGTGCAATTGGTCTAATGCTTTTCAGAAGCAAATAAAATGATATAGAATTAGGTTATTTAGTCACTAGATAAAGTTGTTACTTCACTGTTTGTTGACGCACAATTCACTCTAGAGAACTAAAAAAAACAACTTTTTCTTGTCCGGCTAATTTGCTGCTCAAGTCTAATTTTTATTCCTAATCGATTAAATGTAGCAAACAAAGAGGTTCTGTCATTCCTAGTTTGAAAAGATGACAACCCAGCAGCATGTGCTACAGGATAAAGGTCAAGGTTTGATTCATAGATAAAGGCAATATTGTAATGTAATTTCACTTGGATCAGAACTACTAGTTAAGTTAATGAACTTTAAATAGCTGTTTTCTTTTTTGTATAACTTGCCTTTAAATAAATACCTATAAAATCTACAATTTACAGGCCACTAGGTGAACATCTTTAATAGGGAGAAAATTCTAGTAATTTCTAATGTTTAGGTTGTGATTTTTTTATTTTTTTCCTCTGGCCATTAACAAGTTTTTCTAGACACAAGCAAGAAGAACGTGTTTTACTGATGCCAATGTTTTGAATTTTATGCCGTAATGATTTTGAAACATGAGGAGGATGGGTTGACACAAGCATCTGGATTACTATAAGCTAACATATCGATGCAGAAAATTATAAATGTTTTTAGTTGAGAAGGTGACATACAGGGATAATGTAATTGAGGCATCCTTTTGGACACACAGATGTTAAATAAGAATAAAGGCTGGAAAAATGTGTTTGTATTTAAAGTAACTAGATTGATCTGTTTGTGACTGTGAGTCATCAGGTGTTGTGAGGTATTAGCTGCCTCCTTAGTCAGGTTGGTGTCATTTGTCCCATTTCAGTCCAATGATTAATATCTTCCCCCCCGATGCTAACAGAACCATTCAATGACCCAGTAACACGACAGCTTCTGACAGAGGAAAATAGTCTCTCTGGCTTTTCTTAACTCTCCCCTGTCTGTCTTATCTGCCTCATTGGTCTAAGCCCGTATGAATCTTCTATCAGATCTGGTGTCCCTTCTAGATGTGGCTCGCTTTTTCTTTATCTCTCAGAGTCTACCAAAACGCGGATTTGTTAAATCCCCAGTACTTTTTACTCCATATCCGTAGGTTTTCATTATTCCAATGTCACCCGGAGGAGCTGGAGGGGAACTTGTGGTATCTAGCAGAACTGCAATAGCATATGCAGGGTTTTTTTTAAGGTGGGGGTTAGTAAGGGAGTGTATAAGCAAGGGAGAGGAGTAGGCTGCAGCACCGCCTGCTCTACCTCCCCATCACATGGCCAGATTGCAGAACAGAGAGAAAGGCTGGCAGGCAGCCATACTCTTCTTTCATCAGGTCTTTATTGCAGATGGTATGCTAAGAATGGTGTCCTATTAGGATGCTGAGAGTTTGAACAGAACCAAGTGAGTCAAACATGTCGAGGTTCTAACATGTTGATGTGCTCTACCTCTCTGGTCAAGTAGATTTCCTCAAGCACCCTAAATTATGTTTATCACGGTTGGCATGCTTGGCTTTGAGACTCAAGTCCCTAACAGTTTGTTTGAGGCTGCAAGAAAGTTGATGTTTTTTATATACAGTTTTATCTATTCACAATGTAATTGTTTTTTCATATTTTACTTTAGCATTCTCTTGGTGCGTTTTTCAGTTTCTTGAACAAAAAGCATCTTCATCCATCAGAAATTTACACCACTCTAACCCCAAGAAAACTTATATCTATAGTTGTGTTCACCAGTTTCCTGATGGTGCGTTTTGCACTAATAATATATTTATTATATTATAATAAGAGGGATGGGGAAAGGGTTTATCATGATTGATGACATGAAGAGGAAACTGTCAAATCCAGTTGATAGGAGAGAATAATAAAGGGTGTTCAAGTGGAAAATAATTTGGATTATCTTATCTATTTCGCTCTCTGTCAAGCTGCCACTTTCTTGGTCTATCACTCTTTAAGTTCTCTGTTCAAAATCTTTTTTTAGTAGTATCTTTCATGTTGGATTTTAAAGATCATGACCATCGGTAGGGCTGATCAATCTGGTAATTGGCTAGAACTTGTGTTTTTCTGTTTAGGGCTGTAATATAACATGTGATCAGAAACGCAGCCATTAGTTTTTTTTATTTTTTATTTACCAGATATTTTTCTTTGACCTTATTTAATTAGTGCTATATATCAAAAATATTTAAGCATGAGAAAGTTTTTTTCTATGTTGTATTGAAAAGATTGATCATCGCCAGTCAGAGCAAACCATCTGCTGCTTTGGATCTGTAACTGATTAATTGCTGCATCGCTATTTCCAAAATTATTGTAAAGTAACTTTTGAGTTTCAAATTGCTTGATAAGTAGTAAGCTTTAATAAAAAACATTAACTCAACTTTTTTTTCTATTTTATGGATATTAAGTATTCCTTGTTTGATAGACTACACACAATGTGTGTGTTTTGGTGTTATTTTAGGGATGTGTCAGATTTAAATAGGAGTGCAAGCAGTCTGGCCTTTCTCCTGGAGTTGCTTGGTCAGCGTGTAGGTGTTTGACAGATGTTTGCGAGAGGCCATGACACCACCCCCCCAATTGTGGCGCACTCAAGGGCACTTGTGTCCATCCATGTGCGTGTGTCGACAGGAAAGGGCTAGGGAGAGCCCGGGGACAAAAAGTGCAGGATAACACGTCTCCTCCTCCTCCTTCTCCCCATCTCTTCACAATGCACAGAGGGTTGTCAGGGATTGGGTGCATGCAGAGGAGCAGCAAATTGATTATCCAGCCTGCGTGGCCTCTGCAGCCAGCCGGGAAATAAGCAAAGGCCTCTTTCAAAAGAATGTCTGAAACAACCAGAGCTAATGTCATTATAAAGGAGAGATGTAATGGCCAGTTATAGTGATTTGTATCGGTGTTTGAAATGTTAAATGATTCCACCACACCCACAGCATTCATTCAGTTAGTGATATTAATGTATCTGTCCATCTTGTTATATAACCTACGCATTCAGTTAGCCTTACTTCATAGAAACAGACATGTTACGTGCAGTAAAGAAGCACGGCTTATTCATTCTTTAGCTCATATGTGTGCTGCTTCTCATTATAAAGGTTTTTCACATCTTTGAGAGCTAAATGATGCTTAGTGTTCTGTCCAGTGTTGAAGTATAAACAACGTGACACGCTGATGCAAACAAAAGGTCCCGCTTCAATTAAACCTTCACCTTTCAGATATAATTCTACCAAGTGTCCTTTTGGTAAGGGCTAAGTGGTTGGTGACATTAGAAAATCCCTGCGGGGAGGAACGAGTTCTGCTCCAGAGTTGGATTCATATTAAAAGAGGTAGAAATAACGGGAGTATTTTTTTCTCCTATCGATGAAGTGTAGTGCTGAAGGATATAGTAATGTTGTTTGAGGGATAAACATCGACGTGCTGAAGCCTGTTCACACATGGACGACTGACCCAATTAGGACCATTAATCCACCAGGCTTGCCTCAGGTCGCCGCGCCCTGCTGCAGTAATCCCCCTGACCCATGTATCTGTACAAAGATATTTCTTCATATCCCCATTAGAGTGCTAAATTTCTTATCAGCTACAACTCCGGTTGTTTTGAGGCAACTTATCACAAAAAATTCAGGTTTTCTGGGTTTTTAACTTTGCTTCTTGAAGGCTAAAAAAAGCCTGAGTTTAAAATATGCTGTTAATTACTATGATCAATTATGATTCGTGTTACTCTTGGATTAGTAATTGAAATTTCTCAGACAGAGCAGATTTCAAATAGTTGGATTTCACTAATGTTTTAAAATTGACACTTTGTTCAGCTTTCTTACAGCTACAGTCTGTTTGTATTCGTAAGGTAGTGCAGATCATAATTTAGCTCTTGATATTTCTAAAATAGGTCCAATATTTCCATATCCAGCCTATACAATTAATGAAGCGCAAAGGGATATTGGTGCATTTTTGCTGTAGTTTACTCAGCCTTTCTGTCATATGCTGAAACCTTAGCTCTCTGAATCTCTCTCAACCTAAATGAACAGCAGCCATATCTGTAAATTGCTTTTTCCTGTTTTTTTGGTGTATCTGTGCTTCCTTAAACTTCCTTAAAAAGCGGCAACCACCTGATTGCTTAAAAAAAACAAGCCTACTTTGGGTCTCCAACATTCACACTGAACAGTGTTGTGGGCAGTTTGTAGCCCTGGGATGTGGTGTGTTCACTGCTTTTAAGAGATTGGAAATTTCCTGTCTTAGAACCATTTATTTCCAGTCATAACTGTTTTCTCTGTATATCTTTTACTTTAAAAAGAAATAATAGAACAATCCCCCGCCATGTTTATACCCTCTCTGTACATGCTTTAAATAGTTTGTAAGCATTGCAGCAAAATTTTATATTTGTCAGTTTTGCATAACCAAATGTGCAAGAGTGTTAATGTCTGTTAACTGTTCTCTGTGCTGTCTTAATTGAAATTTCTCAAACTATAAATTCTATACTTGCAATAAAAAAATAATTCAAAGTAAAGCACTGACAACAGATCATATGTTTTTAAAATGAGATGACACTGGTTTTATTCAATACACACACAGCCACATTCCGCTGAGCCATTGTGGCTTTTTTATGAAGTGTTT